TTGGCCAGAACTAATTACCTGGCCTGACCACGGAAGCGGAGCAGTTATAAGGCCACACACAGAAAGGAGAGGACAGCTGTCCAGGAGATTGTGTTTCAGAAGTATGATAAGGAGGAAAAGAAGAAAGCAGTAACTTGAGGGAAGGGGGAGGGTCTTTCAGGATGTAAAGCCCTGCAGATGATAACAGATAGAAATCAAAGGGTCAGTTGAGATGACTTTCTATGGTTTAAACGTGTTCCCCAAGACTCATATGTTGAAACTTAGTGGTCAGTGTGTTCATACTAAAAGGTTGAAGGCTGAAAATGTGGCTCATTTGATAGGGTGCTCGCCTAGCATGCAGGAAGGCCTGGATTCAGTCTTCTCCAACCAGGCATGGTATTACAGGCCTGTTATCCTAGCACTCCCTGGGGGCATGAGGACCAGAAGTGGAAGCCTGAAGACCAGAAGTTCAAGGTCATTCTGGGCCACTGTATATTGAGTTCTAGGCCAGTGTGGGCTATAGGAGACTCTCTCAGGTTGGGCCTGTTGGAGATGACTAAATCCTGAAAGTGGAGATCGAAAGCCTGGAATTGTAGCTCAGTTTGTAGAGTGCTTGCGTAGTACACAGGAAGTCTTGGGTTTGATCCCCAGCACCACACAAGCCATGTGTGATGGGGCATACCTGTAATCCCAGAACTAAGAAGATGGAGACAGGGGGACCCGGAAGTCCAAGGTCAGCCTTTGCTACATATCAAGTTCAAGGTCAGCCTGTGTTACATGAGAACATGTCTCAATAAAATAAAAAAAAAATGTTAAATAGGGTTAGGAACGGAGCGCAGGATGTATAAAGCCCTAGATTCCATTTCCAGCACCACATAAATCCAGGCATGGTGGCATGCTTTCTTGGCTCCCTCTCTCTCTCTCTCTCTCCCTCTCTCTCCTTCTTTGCTGTGTTTAGATGGAACCCATGGTCTTGCGCATGTTAGGCAAGGACTCTACTACCATAGCTTTAGGGGTTTTGTTGTTGTTGTTGTTTTGGGTTTTTTTTTTGTTTTTTTCAAGACAGGGTTTCTCTGTGTAGCTTTGGTGCCTTTCCTGGAACTCAATCTGCAGACCAGGCTGGCCTCGAGCTCACAGAGATCCACCTGCCTCTGCCAACCCAGTGCTGGGATTAAAGGCGTGCGCCACCACCGCCCGGCAATAGCTTTAGGTTTTTGTTTCTTTGTGAAAGGAAATGTCAGAAAGGTAGTAGAGGTCAGAGAACCACTTTCAGGAATCGGTTGTCACCTTCCACCAGGGGGCCCTAGGGATTGAACTTCCAACTCTCAGCAATCCTCCTGTATCAGCCTCTCAAATGTTAGAATTACAGATATGTGTCAACACACCAAACCTCATCTTTGTATTTTGAAGGTCAAAATATGACTTGGTAAGTTCTCAGTGACTGTGTTTAATTATAAGGAAAAGATCATATAACCAATCTCTTTCTCTCTTTCTCTCTCCCTCCCTCCCTTAAAAAAAGGAAGACAGTATAAACCGAGTGTCATGAATCACTACTAATACTGTAACTAAGTTAGTGTGTCTTACTCAACAATTTTTTTAAGTGAATGTAAATAGAAATGATCAGAGAATGTGTGGTAGTGTGTATTGAATATATACATGAGTAGTGCACATATTTATTGTTTCAATGTATTTTTACAGTAGATCCCAGTTAGTTTTTTCAAAAATAATTTTATTTTATTTTATGTATATGGGTGTTTTGCTTGCATGTATGTCTGTGTACAACTTGTGTGTCTGATGCCTTCAGAGGTCAGAAGAGGGCATCTGATCCCCCTGGAACTAGAGTTACCATATGTGTGCTGAAAATCAAACCAAGACAGTGCTCCTAACTGCTGAGCCATCTCTCTAGCCCCCTAGTTAACTTTTTTTGAAAGTTTGGAAGCAGAAGTCCTAGAGAAACTCTCACTGTTGGTTAAAGAAGAGTGTCCAGTGCAGTATGGGCTAGCCTGGGACACATCAGGAAACCTTGTCTCAGAAGAAAAACCAACAAAAAAGATAGTGCCAGGTTCCTGTTTCCACTGCCATTCAATGCACTGAGCGCCACCTCGCAGACAAGTGGTGGACAAGTGAAAGCTGGCCAAACACTGGGTGACTCCAGCCCTCCCCGAGGAAAAAGACCAAACATCGACAAAGGAGATGCTAAGAAGCCAAAATGCCATCCATCCTATGCATTCTTTGTGCAAACGCCCGAGGAAGGCTCAAGGAGCAGCGGTCGGAAGCCTCAGTCAGCTTCTCAGAATTTTCCAAAAAGTTCTGGGAGAGGTGGAGATCATGTCTCCAGAGAAAAGGGAACACTTGAGGCAAAAGAGGGCCAGGCTGCCATGTTCTGAATATTGCCACCAATTGCATCCCTGCTTATCCGCTGTGATGTAGGAACTAGGAGAGAGCTGGAATACCACTGCACACACCGGCAGCTTTAGGAAAATAAGGATATTACTGTCTACAGAGAAAAAGGAAATTCTGGTGAATCAAAAAGAGGGAACTGCCAAGGCTGAAAAGACTAAGAGGAAAGACCAGGAGGAGGAGGAGGAGGGGGAGGAGGAGGTGGCCATTCTCAGGTCTAACAGTTATTTCTTCTTTCCTCTTCGTCTTCTTCTTCCTCTTCTTCTTTTCTTCTTCTTCCTCCTCCTCCTCTTCTTCTTCTTCTTCTTGAGACAGGGTTTCTTTGTGTAGCTTTGACACCTTTCCTGGATCTCACTCTGTAGCCCAGGCTGGCCTCGAACCCCTCTGCCTCCCACATGCTGGGATTAAAGGTGTGTGCCACCACCGCCTGGTGTCAGTTACTTCTTCTTTTCTATAAAGTATGTAATTCCTCTGCACACAACTCACTAGTATTAAGGATAAGAAAATTGAAATCAAAGACTTTTTTTAATAGGTGTCTTAGTTAGGGTTCCTATTGCTGTGATAAAAAAAAAATACCTAGGGCCCAGGCATGTATGTATATGGCAATAATATTTGAGGAAGAAGAGACTATCAACTTGAGTGAATGGAGGGACTAGAAGGAGTTGGAAGGAAGCAACTAAGAAGGGGATGGAAAGGGGGGAAAGTGGTATAATTATATTTTAATTAAAATGTTTTGGGTAACTGTTGCCTTGCTTGCTGACCTTGACCTTGATAGCCTCCCTATGCTAATTTCCTGCCGGGTTCTACCCTCCTGAATGCTTAAGAGAAGTTCCTTGTCTGTGTATCCTGCATAATGGGCGTTAACAGCTTAGATGCAAGATTGTAAAATATTGGTATCGAACTTCTGCCCTCCGGGGTTCTCCCATTGTGCTGTAAGCCTATATTTAAGACCTCTTCCCTCCTTCAATAAACAGCATTCAGCATTAAAAAAAAAGAAAAAAGAAATAGAAACAGTCATTAAAAGTCTCCCAACCAAAAAAAAAAATACCATAACCAAAAGCAGCTTGAGGAGGAAAGGGTTTATTTGTCTTATACTTTTGCATCACAGTTCACTACTGAAGAAAGGAGCTCAAGTTAGGGCAGGAACCTGAGACAGAAGCAGAAGCCATGGAGGACACTGCTTACTGCTCAACCCCCATTGCTTACTCAACCTGCCTTCTTATATAATTCAGGACCACCTGCCCAAGCATGTGCCTTTAATCCCAGTACTTGGGAGGCAGAAGCAGGTAGACCTTTTGAGTGCAAGGCCAACCTGGTCTACATAGGCAGTTCCACACCAGCCAGGACTACACAGTGAGACCCTGTCTTAAAAGAAATAATAATAAAATTAAAAAGCCAGATGTGGTGGCTTGCATCTTGAATCCTAGCATTCCTATGTCAAAATGGGATCCAGTGATGGAAGAACTGGCCAGTATTTCAAATATGCAGTCCTTGGGTGTCTGTGTCAGGAAAGTCAAAGTTCAAGGCCAGACGGAGATGGGGATGGAGAAACGGCTCAGCGCACTTGCTGTTCCTGCAGAAGACCCAGGTTTGGTTCTGAGCACCCGCAAACCATCTGTAACTGCAGTCCCAGGGGGTCAAACATCCTGTTATGGCCTCCTTGGGCACAGCATGCATACAGCGTACACACAGACAAGCAGGCACAAACACATTCAAACGAGCAGGGCGGTGGTGGTGCAGGCGTGTAATTCCAGCACTTGGGAGGCAGTGGTGCAAAACCTAGGTTCAACTCCCCAGTACACAAGCGGGGGCGGGGAGGGGGCTTTAGAAAAAAGTTCAAAGTGCTATGGAAGTGTAAGCCATAGCTGAACTCCTTATGACAAGAAATTGTGAATCCCTTTGTTACATACTCCCGTAGTGTCACTTTTCCTGGGGTCACCGGTGGGAAGTGAGATTGGAAAGTTGCATAGGAGGAAAGGACTTACACTTTCTGAGTCAGGGGACCCTACTGTTTCAACTTTCATCATGAACATGCATTACTCAAGCGGTGCCAAAACTAACCTAATTGTTAATTAAAACAGCAAGTGTTAAATAGGCTCTTTTTAATATAAATAGGCATATCCTAATTTCATTGCCTCCAGAGAGAAGGTCGCGTTTTACTATAGGAAAGGAACTGCATAAGGAGTAGGGCTGGAGGCTCGGGCGGGAAAGCATACACGGGAACCGGGTTCGAGCCCCAGTTCGAGCGCGGACAACCGAAAGGCGCCCGTACGGGAAAGGGCTACGTAGAATAAGAGGGTCAAATAGTGTTCTTGGGCCCCTGGGCTCCCCCAGACCCCTCGGCAAAGGCTTGGGGACTGCAGGACCCTCCCCAGGAGGCGCCGTGAGGGGGCGCTCGCGAGGCGGCAGCAGGCATTCGCGCCTCTCCGTTACATGCCCCAGTAACCCCAGCGCCGGCGACCGAGAGTAACCCCGCGGTCTGGTGACGCCCCCGCACCCCCCCGCCCCGACTCTCGCCTGCTCCTGTCTCAACCAATGGGAAGGCGGCGAGCGAGCCGGCCGGACACCCGGCCGACCCACTCCTTCCCCGAGCCGTCCGGACCGAGTTGTACAGTCACCGCGCCTCGCGCTCCGGGCTGCTCCAATAGCAGCGAGGTCGCGATCACAGGCCCCGCCCTGCCGCCCCGGCCCGTTTCCCTTCCCCACGGGAGTCACCTTTGCCTTACAAACGCTCGGCCCCGCCCTCTTCCTACCTTGCCGCGCTCGGCCCCGCCCCTCGCTGGCTCGACCAATAATCGGGTGGGTCTAGAGGCACTGGGCGGGCCCGCAGCCAATGCGCACGCCGTGGGCGGGCCCCCGGCCGGAATTGGGGGTGAAGCCACCGCGTTCTGCCCACATTCGGGGCGCGGAGCTGGGGGTCCCCGGGGGGCGCCCGCAGTTAAGATGGCGTCTGCAGCGGACGGGGACGTGGGAGAGGCTCTGGAGCAGATGCGGGGGCTGTGGCCGGGTGTCGAGGATCTGAGCCTTAACAAGTTGGCGTCGTCCCTGGGCGCGTCGGAACAGGCGCTGCGGCTCATCATCTCCATCTTCCTGGGTAAGGACCCTCCTGTCTGCCTCTGCCCCCTCGCGGAGTCCCAGGGAAATTGGCAGAATGGGGACGGGACCTGCCTGTCTGCCCCGAACCACCCAGGAGGGCTTTGGGAGTGCGGGTGTAGGTCCTCAAGCACACCAGCCAGCTATCGAGAGGGAGACACAAGTCTTGTCTCGAGTCTGGGGGTGCCGTACCTCTTGCCATTCTCTTTGGCCCATGTTGTGTGCCCTTTGGCCCCTCAGTCATGGATATGCCGGACCGTGGCTCCGCGACCTGTGTCTGTCTGTGGCTCTCGAGAGTTTGACTCTGACCATGAGTACTGCTTATCTGTTATTAACAGCCCCTATCGTACGCTCCTCTTACAGTAGGCATATGCCCTCGAACTTAGGATATTTTAGCCCTACGGGCCTCCTCAGCCCCACATTCCATACGTCTTCTCAGTCTGTGTGCATTGCCAACGTATGTTGTACTTTCATCTCTTTTCTGTCCTGTTTCGAATATTTTCTTATACCATACTGTTTTTCCCCATTAGCCATCCACCTGTCATTTATTCTGGAATATGTTCTTATACTGGGCTTGGGAAACAGGACTATAACACCCTTAAAAACTCCATGCTTGTTCCAAGTGACTATTATTCATATGGTTCAAAGGATGTGATGTGTCTGAATTTATGTCACAACAAGCTATATTATAACTATTTTATAGGCTTTTTTTAAAACCACATTCTTCAATGTTTTTAATACACAGAGGTAGCGTGGTATGATGAAAAAGCATTGACTTTAAGGTCAAAGGAATCTGGCCCACCCTTGTCACTGCTCACAGATGATGGGACCCTGGGCAAGCCCTTTATCTCTGCGTCTAATTTTCTTATGTATGAAATGAGGACAGCTGTACTGTGCCTAGCACTGAATTGCTGTAAAGTCTTCCAACAATTCCTAAGTCAAGATCAGCGATGACAGGCTTGGTTCAGCAGGCTTTTGAGTAGTTGAAACTTTGGGGGAAGGCTGTACAACTTTAACTTTAATTAAGTGAACGCTCAGTGAAAGGTGGCTGGGGCAAGAGTGGAGGGCGAACAGATAGGAACTGTAGGAAGTTTGTGATAAACTGGGTGTGGTGGCTTCTGCCTATATGTCCCAGCACTCTGGTGCTGAGGCAAGAGAATTGTGAGCCTGGGCTAGTGGTGTGAGACCCTCTTTAAAAAAAAAGTTTGAGCCGGGCGGTGGTGGCGCACGCCTTTAATCCCAGCACTCGGGAGGCAGAGCCAGGCGGATCTCTCTGAGTTCGAGGCCAGCCTGGTCTCCAAAGCGAGTTCCAGGAAAGGCGCAAAGCTACACAGAGAAACCCTGTCTCGAAAAACCAAAAAAAAACAAACAAACAAAAAAAAAAAAGTTTGAAATAAGATTGGGCTGGTGTGGGGGGGGGTTTAAATTTCAGAAAGAAATTTGGAATTTATCCAGGAGTCAGTAGAGACATTGACATATAATATCACCAGAGGGTGCTAACCCAATCTAGATAATGGCAGGAGCTTTAATTCATATTTAAACAACCACTGCTCATACCATTGTTATTTGCCTATTATATATCACACCAAGATGATCTTCTTTTCTTCTGATAAAGGTTATCCTCTTCCTGGGTAGGATCCTCAGGTTCTAGAGGTGGGTGGGATCTTAAGTGGTGCAGTTTCCTAATCCAGTGTCATTCAGACATTACCCAAATTTATTTTTTTTTTTTTTTGAGCTGAGTACCGAACCCAGGGCCTTGCACTTGCTAGGCAAGCACTCTACCACTGAGCTAAATCCCCAACCCAACATTACCCAAATTTATCAGCATCCCGTATCTTTGGCTTTACGTACCACAGCTTGGAGCTGGTTACTCTTTGAACCTTGCTCTGACCCAGTTTATTGGAGCTAAGATTGGCAATTAAGAATGCTTACATTCATTAGGTAGGAGGTCCTCTGCTGCTTTCTCAACTGTGTATTGAAAGTCTAAGACAAGCAGCTCGGCCTGTTAAGTGGAACTAAGGTTGGAATTAGGACTTGGAACCCGCATTTGTATGCTGACATCAAATACTGCCAGGCACTGCTATGTGCTGTCACAAAAATAAGCTGACTTGGAAATCATCTCCATGTCCTACCCCACTTCTTTCATCTTCTGTCATAATGACACGTGATCAAAGTAATAAGTACCTGGCACATCACCACATTTCCAAGTCGTCTTGCCAGGTATTCATTCTGCTTCATTCTGCCATTTCCAGGGCCTCCCTTCCCTTCACCCATACACTGTTTCCTTTGGTAATTGGTAGGATTTCTCATTTTCATATCAGTCCTGGCTCTAACGCATCCTAGACAAGCACTGTACCACTGCACTGCATTCCCAGCCCAACTATGTGTCTATATATGATGGTATTTCTAGGCATAGGTTAAATATATACATGTAAATATAAATTGATACAGTTGGACTGTACATGAAGATTATGTTTTTCCGGTAAATACATTTTCCTTATAGAGGTGTTTTTTGTTTGGTTGTTTGGGGTTTGGTTTTTGGTTTTTGGAGACAGGGTTTCTTTGTGTAGCCTTAGCTGTCTTGGGACTCGCTTTATAGACCAGGCTAGCCCTGAACTCACAGAGATTCACCTGCCTCTGCCTCCTGAGGGCTGGGATTAAAGCCATGTGCCACCACCACCAGGCCCTTATAATATTAAGCTATAATTCCAGCACTTGAGAATGGAGGCAGAGGTATCATGGTCATCCTTTTCGGCACAGAAAGTTTGAGCCCAACCTGGGCTACATGGAACTGTGCTTCAAAGAATCAAATAAAAACAAACAAATGGGGCTACAGAGGTAGATCAGAGGTTAAGAGTGCTTGATGATCTTCCAGAGGACCCGAATTCAGTTCCCAGCACCCACATCATGGAGCTCACAACTGTAACCACAGCTCTAGGGGATCTGGCACCGCTGGCCTATGCCAGCAACTGCATTCACCTGCACATACCCACACACAAGTACTCAGAATTAAAAATAATAAAAATTAGTCTTAAGACAGTGGTGAGCTGGAGAGATGGCTCAGAGGTGAAGAGCCCTGGCTGTTCTTCCAGAGGTCCTGAGTTCAATTCCCAGCAACCACATGGTGGCTCACAGCCATCTGTAATGAGATCTGGTGCCTTCTTCTGGTATGCAGGCAGAACACTGTATACATAATAAATAAATAAATCTTGGAGGAGAAGAAGAAGGAGAAGAAGATGACGACAGGGGTGAAACTGGAGAGATGGCTCAGCAGGTAAGAGCACTGGCTGCTCTTCCAGAGGTCCTGGGTTCAATTCCCAGCACCCACGTGGCAGGTCACAACTGTCTGTAACTCCAGTTCCAGGAGATCCAACACCCTCACAAAGACATACATGCAGGCAAAAATACCAGTGCATATAAAATAAAAATAAAGCATTTAAAAAAACTAAGAAAGAAAAAGAAAACAGTGGTGAGGCGTTGGGAACTGAGCTCCAGCCCGGTTTTCTACTTTCTCTGCCTAAGCTCTGTGGGGTGAAGAATATTAAAACACTGGCTTTCTGATCTCCTTGCTAAAGACCTATGATGAGAAATAATACTTTCCATAGTGTATAAATGTAACTGGAAACACGTTCAGGAAACACTGTTGGCCCTTACTGTCTTTTTTTTTTTTTTTTTTTTCATATCATTTGTGCCCCCTGCATTGAACTCATGATCTATTAATGAGTTACGGAGAGCAATCTGAAAAGTCCTAATCCAGAGAATATAATTTGAGAGAGGAAGGTGGGAGTGTCAGGTATTGAACCCAGGACTTCACACACACTAAGCAAGTACGCTGTCACTGGCCCACATCCTCCAGCTTGGTTTGTTGTTGTTTTAATTTTTTTGTTTGGTTGGTTGGCTTTTCGAGACAGGGTTTCTCTGTGTAGTTTTGGTGCCTGTCATGGATCTTGCTCTGTAGCCCAGGCTGGCCTCACAGAGATTCGCCTGGTTGTGACTGCTAGGATGAAAGGCGCAGGCCACCACTACCTGGCTCATTTTTGTTTTTGAAACAGTGTTACTATGTAGCCCTGACTCATCTGAAACTCACTATGTATACCAGATAGGACCAAACTCACTGAGATCTGCCTGCATCTGGCTGGAGTGCTGGGATTAAAAGTGTGCGTCACCAAACTTGCCTCACCACCTTGTAATTTTAACATTCAGTACATAAGGCAAGAGTGTACGTAAATTCAGTACATAAGGCTATGTGGAGTGCTATCTTGGAGTACTTTGAACAGCCAGAAGACTACTGATATGGACATTTGTGTTAAGTGTGATTGCAAGGTTGCTAAAGAGGAATTTTGCTATGAGCCCTAGTGCTGACAGATGCTACTGGGAAACACCCCCTTCAACAGCTTGGGTTTCATCATTCCTTAACATAATTTGTAACATGAATTCTTCAATAAATTCAACAAGATATACCTGCTGTGGACAAGTAGTGTTCTTGATGCCACAGGGCAGGGGCAATGGGAGCAGTGTGTGTAATAAAACTGTGCACTCAGACATTATGGTCTGTCAGGATAGGGCGTGAGATCAGTGTCCGGACCCCAATAAAAGGCAGAGACCTAAGTGCCAGAAGTACAAAAGCACTATGAGATTTATAGATGGAACATTTCATAAATAATGAACTTTGGATATTGAGTTAGATTTCTTCCTTAGGCTCCGATAGTAAAACTTAGGAAGTACGTGAGCACTTAGGAGCCTGATGCAGGAGGATCACCACTAATTCAAGGCCAGCCTGGACTACTGAATGACACTGTCTCACCAAAACAAAAACAAAATTTTCATTGATGTTTGATTTTTGAACGGGGAATGCTGTGCCTGGAGCTATAACTGGGGGCGCGGGGGAGGGGGGAGTGATGTACAAAAGTGACTTAGAAAGAGGGAGTAAGGAATCGGGACAGTCATCTGGGTCCAGATGACTTGGAGGCCAGGTGGATCCACTGAGGGAAGAAACACATC